ATAAACCGTGAAGTGTGAAAATTGTGTTCATTAGATTGGTCAAAATATGTCTATGAAACTTGATTTATTTTGCGCACGATACTCATGCTGATGTCTTAGTTGAATGATTTGACCCATGATCTAAAGATAAGTGAACATAGTGATTACACCCAGAAAACCTCTTATGCGCGACACCATAACCTACGATTAGAATAGTTGGGTGTTATTAAACTTTCACTAGGAAACACTGAGATGAGTAAAGGTTCCTTGCTTGCTAAGTTGTGTGGATTCTCTGAGACCAATGAGATGAAAATAAAGTAAAAGTTTCGAGTCAGGGATTAGTCTTAGAGACTGGATGGCTAAAAAGAATAGGGGCATTGCACTAATTATTAATTATAATAAAGACATCTGTTCGAGCCTATGTAACTCGAGTGATTAAGCCTGCAAAGGTTTAAAACCTGGTGCCCTATGGTCATCTGACCTGGGATTCATTGGCCTAAAGCTCGTTATAAGGGTTATGTAGAAAGCAAATGAAAGATGTCGTAAAAAGAAAAAAAAATGATGACTTGGAAATTGGTGAAGCAGGTAACACATGTACTCTTGTGCATAGCCCCAGGCATCCGGTTGATGGATCTATATCCCCGATACGAATCAGATAGCTGAATCCAATCTCAACGGTTGAAGGAATCAAAAATAGGAGAACCTCTACTTCTATTAAAGTGTGAACTTGTGACAGGATGATACATCTGAGCTAAGAGAGGGAGAAGAATAAATATAGATGAGCTCAACCTAGGAACTACCTCCGGGATACTTGAGTGAAAAGAATAAGTTGGGGGAAGTGTGTCTCTTTCGAGCGATGAAAGTGAAAATTTGACCACTAGGATCGGGAATGAGTCAATCATGATACCGATATGTTGGTATGAGTTTACACACACACACACACACACATCGAGTCCTCATGTAACATATGGAGATCGATATGACTCTGCACGGTTGTAACTACTCATGTTGTTTCATACAAAGCTCCAATCCTGAGAGATGGCAGATTGTTGAACCATGTGTCATGCAAACTAAGTTGTGATATAGTTTGAGGACAAACACCGATTCAAGTTTGGGGGAGTTGATAAGAGTGTGTTTTGCACACGTTTACATCGATTCATAAACCTGGATATTTATCGTTTTATGCGTGAAACATAGCTTAATTTGTTATAAATTGTGTTTGTAGGTCAACACTGGTGAATGAGGTGAAAGTGAAGGAAAAAGAGAGAAAAAAGACTAAAATGAAGAAGAATCAAAGTTCAGGGACTAAGATGCAAATATCAAAAAGATAATTCGGAGAAGGAACTGAAAACATGAAGACGAAAATATCAAATTGAGTAATGAGATTCTACATTGGAACAAGGAATTGGGAAAAAGGATCAAGAAATGTAGAGAGCAAAATAGGACGACTAAAATGCCACATTTTGGAAAATACTAACACTAAGCGGTCGCATAGTGTTAGAAGTCTTGCGATCGCATTGAGATATGCAGGGATTAAAATGGAGCAAATAAGGCCTTCTATGCGACCGCATAGTATCCTTCTATGCAATCGCATAGAAGAAAAAAATGGCGATTTTCTGGCTTTCCTTATTGGGTTCAAACTCTTTTGGGAACGGGATCTAAAACTCCTATATAACCCGAATAACGTCCAGAAGCTAGGGTTACGCCTTCCTAGAGAGAAAAACGACATTATTGAGCAAGATCAAAGGGAGGACGAATATTTTCATTCCAAGATCCAAGATTTCAAGCTTTATATTCAAGAATTGGGTGATGTCTTCTCCAAAATATTTTCTTTGTTATTTTATTTCATCCATGCTAAGTTAGGTTCTTATTGTATTAGGTGAACGATGAACCTCGTAATTTGAACCTTTAATTCTTTGTTTTGCAATTTGATTATAAACACGAATATTTGATGTTGAATGGTTTATATTCTCTTTATCGCCTCCACAATTATATGCGCAATGATTATGTGAGTTTGGGTGGTCTATTTCATGCATTCGAGAGAAGGAGAATAGATTCTACAAGGTATAAATCATCATAGGGTTCGATAGGGGATAGAGATATGCCGCTATGCTTTACGTGAGTTTTTAAGTGTTCATAAAACGACATGCATTCTTGTATATGGGTATTTGTCATAGAAATATAGTCAAATGGTATGCGAGGATAGGTTTAGCTCTACTCAAGAGAGATCATTGAATATTTTAGGAACATTGACTTTTCAACCGATTCATTGTGCTATCAAATTGTGAAATAAAGGTTAAGGGTGAGTTTACGTGGGGATTCGGGATCCTAGTACGCTTTCTATACATATATTTCATCAAGCATTTGCATTCAATCCGTACACTTGCGGTAATCAAAGTCGAACATAACAATTTCGACGCATCAGATGTCATTCCACTTTTGCGTGTTTAACTTCGATATTATGCTAAACTAGATTTTTACATTGTTAAGATATAGAGGAACCCTTAAAATTTTTAATAGTAATTAATTATTTTGATGACTAGTATGTTTATTTTCTTGGATATTTATTATTGTTTTCACCGAATTTTCAATTAATTATCTACTAATTGAGATGATTTATTGGAATATATTATTATCGAGAGAGATAATATGTTTTTAGCTAAAAAATAATAAGCATTGTAAAGTCCGATAGGGGATAGAGATATACATCTATGATTTACATGGTTTTCGTAGGTATTCCAGATCGTTTAATACATTTATCATGTTCGTATCTTTTATCAAGAAATAGAAGGGTCACATGAGGGAATAAATTTGATGAATATCGAGAGGGTTTTCAATTAAATTAGTAACACTGATCGCAAGAATGATTACAAATTGTCACTTTAATTTGTTGTGCTAAAAATAGATTAACAAGGGAAATTCGATATTATAGCAATATTTTCACATATTTGAAATCAAATCAGTTAAATTGCTTTCTAGTTTAATTGATAATTTAGATATTAGTATAGAAAACTCAAACCTTATTTGCCATTCGATTAAAGCTGCTATTAATTAGAACTCGATTGAATACATAGTTCTCGTGGGTTCGACACTCCACACTACTATATTACTTGATCAAGGTCCCGTTCATTTGCAGGAAATCCAACGATCAAGTTTTTTACGCCGTTGCCGAGAACTACTGTTTTTGATACATTTGCTTAATTTTTGTTTTAATCTAAATTTTACATTTTTTTTTAGTTTAGTTTATTAAAAAACAATTATAGTATTTATGCTAACTTTTTCAAGACCTTGTATGCGAAGTTTGAGAACCGGTGATCTTGCTCAATTTGACCCGGAGATTGAACGAACATTCAACTTTCAAAAAAGACAACAGTTGAAAACACACCAAAAATCGAAAGAGGAAGACATGGCAGGGGAAAATCCGAATCAAATAGTCATATGGGCTGATTTGGAAGCATCGAAACCGAAAGTGGCTACAGCTAATGAAAATGCAAGACTAATGGAGAGTATATGGTTCCACCAGTTGTGGAAAGCCTATCTAGCATAGTATATCCGGCCTTTGGTCACGCAAAGTTCCACCTGAGGACTGATGTGATCAACATGTTCCAAAACACGCTACAATTCTTTGGAGAGCTTCGGAGAATCCCAACGCTCATTATCAAGAATTCTGGAAATATGTGCAACTATCAAGTATCCAGAGTGTCTAGTGAAGCAATAGACTTTTCCCATACGCATTGAGAGACTCAGCCAGATAATGGTTACACACTTGTGCAACTCAGAGCATCACTACATGGAACCAATTGAGTCAGAAAATGCAATGTTAGCACGAGTTACGGGATTTTGACTTGGAAAGGAGATGGGGTTCCGTCGAAGAAAATAGTAATGGGAATGCCAGTTTATGGGAGGACATGGCAACTGAAGGATCCGAATGAACATGGAATTTGAGCTCCTGCTGGGGGAACAGGCCCAGGGGGGACTCTAGGAGTTATGATTTATTCTGATATATTGGGGTTCAATTCATTGAATAATGCCACTGTGGTTTTTGATAATGGGACGGTATCAACTTACTCTTATGCAGGAATGAATTGGATTGGATTGGATATGATGACACTATTTCATTCAATCCAGGCTAAAATTAAGTTTGCTAAGGCTCAGGGCCTTGGGGGGATATTTTTTCTGGGCACTTGGTTATGACGGCAACTGGACTATTGCTAGAGCAGGTAATGAATTCCTTTTCCCTAGTATAGCTTGATAATCTAATGTGTTTTTGGTACACGTGTGCCGACTTTTCATGGTCCACACTGGGCTACCTAGCCTAGCTCGACCTAGAATTTATAGAACATCTGAACCTAAAACTAATTTTAGTATATATTAAAACTCAAAATTAACCATTTTTTGCACTTACTATCCCCCAACACCCTTCTAGAGAAGTCGACCCGAGTTAGAAATGTTGGTGGGCCCTGAGGAACTAGAAATGCTAGAAGCGCCAAAAAACCGAGTTCATTATAGTTAACAAATACAGTATTATTCGCTTGCAAATCCTAATATGAGACAACTCACGTTACATCTCTAAATGCATTAATTGACGTATCTATATTATAATTAATAATTTACCTAATACGTTATGCATTTGGGTTGTTGGACTAACGTTGTGGTATATATGCTTCCATGGTGTGGGACTGTGTGAATTGATTGATGCAATGTCCAATTAAAAACTCATTTCACTAGGTTATCATTTTTCGTTTTTCCCTAACTTTTCCATTAACAACACTATCGCTGATAATCATCTACACGATCAATTTCAAAGAATCAATTCAAATCTAACAATGAAGAAGGGACGTGCAATCAACAACAAAACAAATAAATAAAAGAAAAACGAAAAATAATTTAGTTGAAGGTTATTCTATATTCTCTTGGGGAATAAATAAGATTCAACTATAACCTGCTTCACAATTGTACTGCTAAACCCAATGACCTTGTACGTACCATTCTCAGGCTAGACGAACCATTTGATAAAATTCTCAAACACACCATAGTTGAGAAGCTGCATAATGAAAAATATTTGTTCATTAAAATCAGTATATTCGTCGTAATTATATGTGTGTTAATCTAAAAAACTCAATATATTCTGTGTATATACGTACCTCGTTTCGAAATCTTCCACTTGTAATCACCGTCAACAGCCCAAAAGAAGTACCCACGAATCCCAAGAGCCCGAGCATAAGCTATCTTCATCGTCACTGATAGAGTATCATCGTATCCAATCCAGGTAGTCCCAGCCACAGAATACATGGAAACACTCTCTAAATCATACTCCACTTTGGCCTTATGATCCCTGTTAAACTGTTCTATTTCAGCGAATGTCAAGACTCCTTGATCGCCAGGTCCCACATCAATGGCGGGTGATCCTACACCGTGTGATTTCGAGTCCTTAAGCAACCATGTTTTTCCGTATAAGGGCAATCCCATGATCAGTTTGCTCTTTGGGACGCCTGATTTGATCCATGAACCCAGGCCGTAACTTGTGCTTATGTTGGTTTTGGAGTCGAATAGTGCTGAGTGAGCGCCTGTGATGGAAGGTTCCCATGAGCCATGGTAGTCATAATTCATTACGTTGATCCAGTCTAAGTTTTTGGTGATGGAGGTTGCAGGGTATGATCTGTAGGGTCCGGAGAGGAAGAGGTTGGCAGAGAAGTAGACGGCGGCAGTGAGGAGGAGCGGTGGCCGTTTGGTGGTTTTGGCTTCCAGCTGGACCTCGAGGCGCCATTCGTCAAGCAAATAGGCCAAGTTTTCCATGTCCTTCGGTGTTTGAGGATATTCCCAGTCGAGATCAATCCCATCGAAACCAAATTTTCTTGCCACTTCTATGCTTGAGCCGATGAAATTCTTGCGCATTGAAGGACTCGAGGCCATTCGTCCAAAAAAAAAGGGACCTTCGGCTGCCCCACCAATGGAGAAGAGTATCTTCACCAGGGGCTTCTTCGCACGAAGAGTGGACGTGAAATTCACTAGCGCCACTGCTGTTGTGTACTCTATGTCAAACTTAAATGTGACATTGTTAGGAATAAGAAATGCATAGTATATGTGGGTGAAAAACGACGTCTCAATGGAAGATGGAGGCAAATTCTTGGCCCATGAAGGCCAGTAGCCGCCTTTGATTGCCTGAGACGAGGACGAAGAGGCCATAACTGAACATGCAGTGAGACTCAAGATCAAAAAGGTGCAAAGACTATAAGATTTTATGCCTGCTGCCATTGTATTATTTTTGCCAATATGCACTTTGGATACTATACAGATATATAGAAAGAAGTTTAATCTAATCTTGTCAAATGTTACACAATCATTAAATTGTTTATATGCTGTTTTGTATGGTTGTGTTTATCCACAGAACCTGTGATAAGATTCCAATTTTCAATAATGGTCAACGTCGCAGTTGAAAAGAAACACTGAGGAACATTATAGTTTGAGTAGTTATTTCACCACTCTAGAAAGCCGTCCTATCATTAATAATTGTGACTTGGTCACTCGTAGAGATTTCTATGAAGTAATGCAATTGGTTTCTTCTAGACGTGAAAATGCGACAACAATATATATAAGTCGGGATACAAGTAGAAAAATGATCAAGAAAGAGTGCATATGAATGCATCGAAGATGTAAATGATTCTTGATCAACTTCTTGAGCTTGGACGTTTGAAAGAGAGAAACACAAGTTTTGAGATATTTTTTAGGTATTTATTATGGAGCAAATGTTTAGGCCATTGTATTTGAGTCTTTACGCAGGTTATGGATGACTAATGTCCATAAACCCTACAAATTTAATATATGAATGGACAATAATGCACAATGTGTGACAATGACTAGGTATCAAAACATATAGTAAAAGTGTACATTGTTTTATTGGTATTCCAAATAATTATTTTTTCAATGATAAGTTTGAAAAATTAGGGATGTTAATAAGATAACGTAAGAGCTCCTAATAATCTGGGATAAATAATACATTCATGGGACGGAGCAAGAGAGAAATTGAGGCAGGAAAAATATGTTTGGATTATTCTCTTTGTTTTTATGATTTGTCTCGAGTGAGTGTATGCTAGTGAAGGCAAATAAAGACCCTAGAATCAAGATAATATAGCTTATTTTATGGTTTCCATGTAAAATATAGGGAAACTTATACATCATTTTCTTATTTGAGAACTTTATTTGTTAGAATCCGAACAAGAATTATGTATGTTGTACCACTTGTTAAGAATAGAAAAAAGGGATTATATGATACAATATAAAGTAGCAATCACAATACAATAACAACTCAAAGAAAATTCGCACAAGAATAGAGAATTTATTAATAATGGAGAAATAAAACAAAATATTGTGTTTCTAATTTATACGAAATCATATAAAAACTAAGAATCACGTGGACTATTTATAAGACCCAAAAGAGTATATTATAGTTGGAAAGACGATAAAAAAGGGATTCAAAAGAGGAAAACAAAATTTTCTCTGATATGTATGCCGAGCGCCAGGCAAGCACCAAGGTTTTGCTGATTATTTGACGACGCCGCTCGAGTGCCATAGCTAGCGGCTAGCTAGGGAAATTGTAGCAACTTTTTCTCTCAGGTCCATAGTTTGATCTCTTGAAGACCACTTCAACCAAAACTCCAATACCCACTAGAATTTGGGTCAAACTATAGCATTATTCCTAGAAAAACAAAACCAAGTTCGACTAATTGTCATCTTGCCATAGTTAATTAGTTAGTATTGGGATTTAGTTTGATAATTTAACTATGATGACTAACTACTAGTGTCGTTATTACAAGAGAAACATATGAAAAATGGAATATTATAATTTTTTAAGTTGTTAGGTTAAAGAAATTGCTATTGTCTTTTTATGATTTCATAACTATTTAAGTTGTTCGAAAAGAAACTACTATTGTCTTTTTTATAAATTTACAATTAGATTTAAAAATCTAATTCATTACTGAATCATTGGTATGCTCGCATATGGTCTCTAAACATTAAAAGTCATTCTTTATTCAAATTTCTATTGAAATATATTGATACAATTGTCTTTTAAAAAAAAAAAAATCTTTTGGCTTGTTAATTAAAAGATAGGCTATCACCAAAAAAATTTGTTTCTTACACCACATTGTAAATGCAATCTCATTAAAATATATTTTTAATAAATAGACCACAATTGATTTAAATATATACCCATAACTCGATTAAACCCGATTAAAAACTAAAAAAAAAATAAATAAATAAAGCATACCACATAGATGCCCTTCCCCAATATTGCCCTTGTTACTTTTCCCCTCTCTCTCCCCAGCAGCAGCCTTCTTCCTCCACAATATCGTGCGGCAATGAATCCAAAAAGTTACACTTTTGTGGCAATCTCCAACGATAATTTGATCATTTTCTACACACGTTCACTTTGTGATAACACTATCCCATTTAAAACTTACATGTTGTCCATTTTTATATCCACACTAGGCTTAGATTTTGTATTTCAAATCTTGAATATCTAGAGAAGTATATATATACCAAAATACATGCAATAGAAGTTAATAGATCGTGACAAGTAATAAAGTAGATGCGAGTCCAAGTATCAATCCTATGAGGAATTAGTATCCAACGTATTTCTCAATTTATTCTATCTCTAATCGAATGTAAAAATACAATTATATGGATGAGGTGATGATTATTAACAATTAGATCTATAATTCATGTAACTAATTTAACTATGTGGTAGGAAGTGGTTATGATTATTTGATTAGTTGACAAAGCACTATGATCCCATATCCCCTTGTATTAATTCACATTTGAACAATAATCAAAGATCAATGTTCCTATCAAGTTCAATAGTCCCTCCTAAGATCAATTGAACCTACCCTCATACACGACCTGATAATATTCATATCCCGAATTCATATATGCAAAGATGCATTAAAAACACAAGAACATCAATAGGAATATACATCAATTCTCTAGTGGTTAATTACTTGAAAGCATTAAAAGCATTACAAACATTCAACACCGAAAAATTGTTTTAATGTTAAAATTATATAATGAATATCAAAATATCAAAACAAAAGGGTTCAACGTTATCCTAACATCTAAACAACTAACTAAACATTATAAGATTACAAGAACACAAGAATAATAAATACATCAACCAAAAATCAGAATTTTTGGAAGAAAGACAGAAAATGGTCTTGAATCTTGAATTGCTTCAATGATTCTTGATTTCCTCTCCTTGATATTCTTCTTCAATAATCCCAAGCAATAATTGTGTTAAAAGATGTAGGCAGATGTCTTGCAGCAATAGCTTCTTCAATGCTTGAATAAACATCTCAATTCTTCTCCAATTGGATCTTTCAATTGTGTCTAATGTCTAGCTATTGAGCCTCTAAACTTCCTCTCTAGCTTCCTCCTAATGTCCTTCTTTGATTGTAGATGAATATGCATATCGATAAGACAATATTTAGGTCAAATATGTGCCATAGAAAGTTTACAAAAAGTGTTTGATAGAAAAAAGGAAAGAAAATAATATGCTCAGGACCAAACTTAGTAATTTCATTCCGGTGTTCCTTTTAAGTTTTAAGAACCCGGGTTTCCCTTTAATTTTGCCAATGAGTTTCCAGGTCATGTTGGATAAAGCGTTACACTCAATTGCCATTGTAGGTGTTTTCTAGTGGTGTAATTATCATGTAGAGTGATGCGCCGACTAATATTTTATTTGAAAAAAATTAAGCAAAAGGGGTGGAACAGGAGGATTTTCTAGGGGAGTCACTCATCCTAGTGTAGTCACTCCTCCTACTGAATGTTTGACACAAAGTTATTATAATTTAAACTCTCCCAAACTAGCTGCTGGTACTACTGTTTTTGAGGCACGTGCTTAACTGTGAAGTTCCGATGGGAGAAATGCCCCCAACTGTTGACCTCTATATCACTACCAAGCACAGATAAGTCATGAGAATTTTTAGGGGCTTAGCGTACTGCATTTTTCTTCATAGAAGAGGTCTAATATGTATTTGGTTTGAAACGGACTCCTTCACTGGTGTTCCTGACTTGAATTGCTACGAAGTTGTTGACTAGGCCCCAAGTCTTTTAAAGCAAACTCAGGTGTTCTACTTCTCGATAAGACCAGCTGCCATGTCAATGTGTTCATCACTGTCATCCACATATGAACATAGGTTGTGTGAGTTTTGGTCCCTCTAATAAACGGGAGCTGATGAGTTTAGCTGATATTAATTGATGGGTTTGCAAGGCTGTATTTTAGAGGGTGTTTGGTGGAGATTAAAATCGGATTAAAATTGAAAAACTAGGCGTTATTGTTGGCTGTACCATAACTGCCTCCACGTCTAGCATGTCATACCAACCTCTCGGTAGAGCAACCGTTACGACAATTCTGAAGTGTATATTTTAACTACTGGGCTGAAAGTTTAATTGAAATCAGACCTAGCCATTAGGTAAAATTTTTTACTTCTGGATTATGCCACCCCAAATATTAAAGGAGAATTGGAGGAGGAAAATATATGGCATGTTTTATTTCAATACTAAAAGACAGCATATATAGTTTTACAGAAACCTAAGAATAGAAGCTGAAGATTACATAAGATTACAAACTCTAATTATGGAAAATAAGATTACAAAAGATTACATAGAATAAACTAAAGAATATCTCTAACATGCCCCCGCAAGATGGAGCTCCGGGAGGAGATTCCAATCTTGGTCTTCAATAGGAGAAAGCGTGCACGAGGTAGCGGTTTGGTAAGAGCATCAGCCAATTGATCTTCGGAGGAGACATGAAGAACACGCATGACACCATTCTGAACTTGTTCACGAATGAAATGATAATCCAAGGCTACATGTTTCATGCGGGAATGAAATACAGGATTAGAGCATAGATTCGTGGCACCAACATTGTCACAATAAATCACCGGTTGTTGAGAAAGTGGGACGCCTAGTTCAGACAATAAGGAAGTAAGCCAGCATAATTCGGTAGCGGTAGTGGCAACAGAGCGATATTCAGCTTCAGTAGATGAGCGCGCAACAGTTCTCTGCTTCTTTGAACTCCAGGAGATGGGATTGCGGCCAAGATAAATAATGTAGGCACTAGTAGACGTGAAGTCATCTTTATTGCCGGCCCAGTCAGCATCAGAGAAAGCATGTAGAGACATTGGAGAACT